GGGGGATTTTCATGGTGTGTCCTCAGCTCCATGTCTGTGTTTACACTTTGCACAGTCGTTAGCCATCTTGGCCTCCTCACTGCATGCTGAGGACGTGGTTTTACCCTCAGCACCTTCAGAGGGTCTCTCTTCTAAAGGAGAACATCTGTCTCCATCTGCTGAATTAAAGCGTCGGAAAAGCGCAAGCCACAAGGACACCCTTTTAATGACAGTCGTATGTGGGCAGTTTAGAAAAAGTAGAGAATACAGTAAGGTGGAAATAAAAAATCATCTTAACACCCAGAATCAACCATTAGTCTTTGGTATTGGTATATCTTTTAAAATATTATTTTTAAATATATCTATTTACATGCATCTCTCTCTTTTTTTTTTGGTACCGGGAATCAAACTCGAGTCCTTGCACTTGCACAGCAGGCAGTGAAACCACTGAGCTAAATCCCTGGCCCTACATGCATATCTCTTATAAACATATTTTATAACTTAGTTATAAGATGAAACTTTTAACCAAAATTTTAAATTTATATTTTATATTTATGAGAAAATTTATACATATAATGAGTTTGTATGTCTCCTTAATGCCAAATGAGAATGGTATATAGATGTACATATAGATGCACATACACACACATACTCTGCATTTGGTCAGTCCTCCAGAACTGAGGATTCTACATCCGTGAATTCAACCAACCACAGATGAAAAACGTGTGATAAAATATTACATCTGTCTTGGATATGCCCAGACATTTTTCTTGTCATTATTCCCTAAACAGTACAACATAACTATTGACGCATCACTGACATGGCATTAGGTATTATAAGTAATCTAGAGACAATTTGAAGTATATAGGTGAATAAGGTGGATGAAGACACACCTCAAATACTATGAAATTTTATATAAGCAGGGGTTTGGGGACTAATCTGTGGATACTGAGGGATGACTGTGTGTGTGTGTGTGTGTGAGTGTGTGTGAATGCATGAGTGTGTGTGTTTTAGATCTATGAGATGAGATTGAAATATATGATGAATGTTTAAATTTAAAAAGTTTTGTTGTAAGGGCTTGGGAGTTAGCTCAGTGGTTCTGCTGCCTGCCTTGCAAGTGTAAGGACCAGAGTTCGATCTCCGGTGCCCCCCCCCGCCCCAAAAAAGTTTTGTTGTAGCAAGATACATTGCTGTGAATCCTCCCCTTCTCTTTGGACACATCCTACTATTTTTACCACTTTCTGAAGCAGTTCTAGAGTCTTACACTGTGAACAATTTTATGAGGTGTGGTAAAAAATGCGAGTGCATGTTGCTCCCAGGTGCCATCCAATGGAAAGGAAGGCTGTAAAATCATGCCAATCCTCATTCACCTTACTCACCAGATCTGGCAAGATGTGACTTCCAGCCCTTCTTCAAAGTCAAAATGACCATAAAACGCAGACACTTCAAGTAGATTCAGGACACTGAGGCAGCCACAACAGCCTAGCTAAAGATATTCAAGAAGGAGGGCTTCCAGACCTCCTTCAGAAAGTGGCAAGAATGATGGGATAAATGTGTTTAAAGTGAAGGGAAGGATTTTAAGGGGAATTAATGCCAATGTGTCTTTTACTGTAATAATTCTAAAAACATAAACATTCACTGTATTTTTTGACAACACTGTTGTCTGGCTGTTCATCCATTCATCTATGTATCCATTCATCCATCCATTCACATTTATACGTATCATCTTAGTCCATTTGGGGCTGTAGTAACAACACATCATAAATAGAATGGCTTATAAGCAGCAGCAATTTATTTCTCACTGATCTTCTGATCACTGGTCTCCAGGGTCACAGTGCCAGCTGGTTCAAAGATGGCATCTTTTTGCTGTGCCCTCATCTTGCAGGACACCAGGCAACTCTCTGTAGTCCCTTTTATCAAGACCCTCATGGCCTAAACCCCTCCCCAAAGCCCTACCTCTCCATTCCTTCACCCTGGAGGTTAAGATTTCAGCATGTGAACTCGGGGGAAACCAGCTTGGTGGTCAAAACTGCGGGATGCTCTCTTAATCCCTGATCTGGCAGTGAGGTGAGCCTGAGGGATTCTGGAGGTCTTTGGTGGATGTAGGAGCCAGGCAGGGGGCTCAATGGCTTCACATGGTACTTAACTTCCTGGGCCACTTTGGTTGGAGCTCCCTTTGACCCTGATAGTTTTTAAAAAAATAATTATTGTATTTTCTAAAGTATGCTTAACATAAATTTTACCATGTTAGCCATTTTAAGTGTGCATTTCACATGAAGTCACCCCTGTAGGCCTGGGGTTCTGTATCCCTGGATCCAAACAGCTGCAGACAGAAGATATTAGGAAAAAAATGTGTCCGCACAGAAGCTGTGCAGACTCCCCTGCCACTCTTCCCTAAGCCATGCAGCGTGACAGCTGTGGATAGCACATCAGCACTGCGGTGGGTGTGACAAGCCATCTGGAGATGAGGTCCATGCCACAGCTGTGCCATTTTATCCTGAGGGACTTGTGCATCCTTGGATTTGGGGCCCACAGGGGTCCTAGAGACCCTCCCCAGTGGTTACCAAGGGACAACTTAGTCAATTGTGAATGATCCCAGAACAGTTCCGTCTTGGAAAACTGAACCTCAGTACCCATTGAACACCTGCTTTCCACCCCCTCTGCCCCAGTGGCTGCCCCTGTACCTTCTCTTTCTCTGAATTGGCCTGGGCCTTTGCCCGGAAGTGGGGTCACAGAGCGTCTGCTCCTTCACGACAGCTTCACTCCATTTCACCTATGTCCATCAGGCTCATGTTCAGCCTGGGCCAGGGTCCCTGCTCCTTAGAGCAGTATCACTGCACTGTGCATGGAGTACTCACAGTTTCTAACCACAGGGGGCTCCAGAGTCCTTGGCATCCTCTGGTCTTCAGTTTCCCCATCTGGGATGGGATGGGGACCAGGCTGTGGGTTCAGACTCTTCAGCCACTGCCATGGTTATGTGAATGCATGCATTCCTCTTAACCTCTGAATCTGGGTGTGGGGCCAGGAGCATCCCTGCCGGTGGCTTTCCTGGGGGCCACTGCAGGTGACCTCACAGCTGCACATGGTGGCTCAGTGGAAGGGATTCTGTTGCTTCTGTGGCCTGCAAGTGGTCATTGTCACATTGGAGGAAGGCCAGGCTGGAGCAGGAGACAGATTTTCTCAGGCTGCTGACACTAGAACACCCTCCCAGGGCTCAGCCCGAGAGGTGGCCCCTCCCCGGACCTGACAGGACAGCCCAGGTCCCCAGCCATACTCTCCTGGGACCTTCAGCATGTGGTGGCCCAGGGCTGCCCGGGCCCTTGCTGTCCTACTCTCAGATGTGCCTGGTCATCTCCATTCTTCTCTAATATTCATTTATGACAAGTTCTGTTTCTGAGTTGAGAAGAAATTCATATTGGTTGCAGAAATATGAAAAGAGTTCTAAACAGATACAGAGAGGAAAATACAAATCTTTGGAGCCCCTCCCCGCGGCAAGAGGGAGCTGTCCTTAATACTCCACTCTCTTCCCCCTGGGTTCTCCATGGCATGAGTACCTTTGGGAAGGGCGTGGAGGGGACAGGAATCTGGGGGTCCCCACCCTCAGGAAGGCTTCTGGCTCCAGGTCTGGTGCCAGAGGGAACAGTGGCACAGTCATGACTCAAGGTGAGACCACCCATGGCCAGGCTGGAGGCCAGCCCAATGCAGAGTAGGGGAGCAGGTCAGAATCTGTGTGCTTGGCCTTGGCCATGTGTCTCACATCCCTCTTGATATCTGTTCCCTGCTCCCATTATGTCAAACTGAGGCACTTGACCCTCCCATGATACCAGGGCCACCAGAGGGCTGGTCCCACCTCCATGGGCTGTCATGGTGATGAGAGGTGATGGTGGTGGTGGCTTCCTTTTACCCTAGAGCAGAAGCAGATAGTGGAGGAAGGGAAAGATCCTCAAATGGACTTGAAGTGAGGACACTGCCTGGGCCTGCCCCTGGGGAAGGGAAGAGAGGACATTCTGTCATGCCCAGCCATGAAGACTGAGCTCTGGAAATGGCCCTGATCTGGGTGGCTTCAAAGGCCCCAGGGCATGGGCCCATTTCTCCTGGCTATGACCCCAAGGTGGCAGCAAAGGAAATTCTACATTATGGCAGGCAGGATGCATGGGGAGTTGGGGACCTGGGTCCCTGTTCTTGGTGTGGACCTGGACTCTAGATCACAAACGGTTCAAGAGGCTGAGGGTGGGTTGGGGATTGAGTAAGGGGCTGGGCCTGGACATGCTTCCAAACTATCACCTCACTCTCAAACTTCACTCCACCATACCCCAAGGCCAAGCCACACCTAACAGATCTGAACAGGAGATGTTTAGACCCAAATAGGTCAGTACTATGTCCCAACAGCTTCATAGACATTAAAAAAAACACACCTTACAAATTGAAAGAAAATTGCATGTTTTGTTCCTTGTAAAGGAACTGTGTTCTTTCTCATGGGCTTTGCTTGACTTCTTTACTCGTGGACACCCTACCCTCATTTTACATTTCTCATGGAATTTGGTGTGGTGCTTGCAAAATTCAGCTCTGTAGAGGTATGACACTCTTGCAAGCAACATGTCATGGTCTCCTGCTGAAGCCAGGAACAGTCCCAGCCAGCAGCTTGCAAGGTGTCTCATGGGTGTCGCTGACTCATCTGAACATTTAAAGTACCCAGGTAGTGCCTGTGAGTGAGTTCTCAGGAATGCGGGATACCTTTGTCATGATCTATGATGCAGTGGTATCCCAGAAGTCAAAGCTCAGAGCAGCCAAGATCCCTGTCGAAGTCCACACAGCTGTGTTGGGGAGTGGGTTTGGCCAGGTCTCCTGGGGCTCTGAGGACCCATGGGACTCTCAGCAGATCACTGGGGTTGTGTGGGCATCTTTGGGGTCCTGAGCACTGCCTTTGCCCTCTGGACCTGAAATGCAATCCATGCCCCACCCCAGTTCCTAAACAGAGACAGAGCAGGACCATGACAGCCCATTGTCTCTCCACCCCTCAGGCAGCCCACTCTGCTCGTGCTGCGTCCCGGACCCAATGGGACTCTCCTTCCTGCCCACCTATGGCTGCCAGAGCAACCGCACGGCCAGTGTGGCAGCACTGCGCATGAAGGCCCGGGAGCACTCGGAGGCTGTGCTGCAGTCTGCCAACCTCCTGCCACCCACCAGCAGCAGCCCCGGCCCCTCCGCCAAGCCTGTGCCCCCAGATGGCAACCAGGACAAGACACCACCTGCCAAGGACCAGAGTGAGGGTGAGCAGGGTGTATGAGGGAGCAGAGCCCTGTGGCCCTTGCCCTCCCCACCCACCACCTTTCCCTGCCTCGGCCCTGTGGACCCTCAACAGCAAGGACAACCTGCAGCCAGCCTCCTTGGGGCCCAGGAGGGGAAATCGAGGCCCGAAGCTCTCTAGGTGCCTGGAGAGTCCCTCTGGGATCTCATTTGTGGACTGCATTGTCTTGGCTTCTTAAGTGACAGGGTCTCCATGGTCCAGGGTGGCAATAGAGTGGCATCTGTGGTGAGACCCCATGGAGGAATCTTGGAGGGAGACAGACTGACTCACTCTACCACCTCTCCTGTGCCCTTCCCTAGTGGCTGACCTTGGACGTCTGGTCAGCCCCAAGAACAGGTTGTCCTTGAGAGATGTCCATGCCTGTCTCCATGGTATCAAGTGGGACTTTCCATCACATTGAGAACTTTGGAACTGGGAGAAGCCCAGCCAACTGTGCTTCCCTGGGTTGAGGTGAGCAGTGAACCTGTTTCTGCACTGAGGGTACAGACTTGGGGCTTGGGTGAGAGGGGACAGGTGTGGGCAGGGAAGGCCCACAAGACACAGCCTGCCCTGGGTACATTGTTCTTGGATCTCACTAGCACAGCTGTCACACTGGCTCCTGGAACTGCCCAGCTGACTCTGGGGTGCAGAGCAAGGGGGTCCTTACCACTGAAGCGCCCCATGGGCCCTGCCTGTCCCCCAAAGAGACCTGGAGGTGGGCAGAGAGTGATCAATTGTGGAGCTGCTGGAGTCTGGAGCAGGAAGGAGCCCAGGACAACTCTGAAAGCCACTTGCATCTGGATCACCACTTTTTCTGGAATCCCTGGTGTGGCCAATGGGAAGCTTGTTACTAGGAGATAAAGGAAACACTGACGGTATGACGGGACTGGGGTGTGCCGAGACAGATCCCAGGGCAGGCGGCTTCCTCCTGGGCACTGTGCATACATTCAAAGGGCCAGATTTCATGGAGAGTTCTGTTGCCATCCAGCATGTTGGTCTTCTCTGTGTGGATGGTGACCTCTAAGACATCAAAGGGGGAAAGTGCAATAGTGTGAGCCTTGTCCTCGCCTGGTGCCCGGAAGGTCGCAGTCTCTGGTGGCTTTTGTCCATGGTGTTCCATTGCAGTTACTGCTTTTATGATGGTCATTTTCCTTTCAGTTACTGTAATCAGAAGGTTCTACTTTCAGATCCCTTGCCTCCTTTTTAGCTTCTCCGGACCCTCCAAATAATTGTCCTAAGTGTATTGTGCCTCTTCCATGATTCCTGCAAAGCGGTTGATAAAACACACTGTCTCCTTTAAAAAAAATCAGATCCTTCCTCCTGCTGTATTTTGCTTGTTCAGTACAAAGATGAAACGATTTGCCAAAAAGCGGCAAAGTGGCTTCCGTTCCCTGTAATTACGAATATTCAGTTGAACGATGTAAGCTCCAGCCCTTATGCACACTAACTCTTCAATCTAATTGTTTGATTAAACTCGTATTTCCTCCAGAAAGGTACATAAATAAGTGAACTGTTGGGCAAATTAAGAATACTTAACAGCATTGCATCCGAAAAGTAGTTACGCTGATTAAATTTTGTGTCCTTGAGGACTTTCAGGAAATTACTTTTGATCGTCAATAACACAATTAAGTAAACTACACACACATTAGCATGAATAATTGATAAGAAATTATGTATTACCACGAAGCACTGACTTAATAATTCATGACGCGACACTCTAGTGACTGTGCAAAACTGGATAACATCGGAAAGTCTGCCTGACGTTACGGAAAGAAAGGAAACAAGCAAGCACCGAACCTCTGCAGAGATATCGAGTACTTAGTTTTGTTGTACAAAAGCAAAAAAGTAACTGATGCATGCTGTAGTTTCTGTTTGTTTAAATACCCAAATAAATTTAGAAGAGTTCAAAGAAAGAATCTGGCAGCTCAGGTCCTGACTTTGTTCCTCCTGGCGGGGTGGAGTCTGTGCCTCTAATGCTCCACTTTGGCCAGTGTGCAAATGGAAAGCTTTCAGAAACTTCCAGGGCCTGTGTTTGTGTGTGTGTGGGTGATTGGAGGCCTTGGTTCAGGAACCTTTTAGCAGACGCTGGGACAAAGCAGGGCCCCTGTGCAAGCCAGAGGTCATCCCCAGTGCTCACACCTGCAGGAGCCAGTCCTGTTCCTGGATGGACAGACATGGCCTCCCCAGACCCCAAAGGCCGTCCTCAGCCAAGTACCCTTTTGGGAAGCCATCACTGGGGCCTCTGCGGCTGCTCTGTCTGCAGAAGTTCACCATGTGACTATAAAAAGGCAATGGGGCTTCAGACGGGGAAGGAGGCTCAGGCCCCAGGGGTTGATTGATTGATTAATTATTATTATTCATTTATTAGTGGAGCGCTCTGAAGGGCACTCTTAATGCACTTCAGCTCATGTGCAGTGGCCAGCCTTGTTTAGGATGATAGGCTAGGAAGGGGAGCAGCAGTGGGGGTGACAGGGTTCTGGGTGGGTGGCCTCAGACCGCCTGGGCTGGGGGGACATTGGAGGACTCACAGGTGTCCTCCATCCTTCTGCTGGCATGGGACACCTGCATGTGGGCTCTCAGTTGGCTAGGAAGGGCTTCCTTAGACTCTGCCACCGTCTCACAGTCTGGGAATCACAGAGGGGATTGCGTTTAATCCCAACAGTCAACCTATAACATATGTACAGGTTGAGCATCCTGAATCTGAAAATCTGATGTCCAAAATGCTCCAAAATCCAAAACTTTTTTGAAGGCCGTCATGACACCACAGTGGAAAATTCCACACCATGAAACTTATGTCTCATGCACAAAATTATTACAGAATCCTTCAAGGTGAGTATGTATATGAAACATACATGAATTTTGCAGTTAGGTTTGGGTCTTATTCCCACAATATCTCTTTATATATGTGTAAATATTCCAAAATCTGAAATGTTCTGAAACCTGAAACACTTCTGGTCCCAAGCATTTTGTGCAATGGGATTGGGGATATGCAACCTTCATTACTATTCTCATTTCACAGAGAGGGAAACTGAAGTCAGGAAGGTCGGGTAACTTTCCAAAGTGACATGGCTGGTGGCCTCCAATGTGTGTGTGGGGTGCCCAAACCCATTGCCAGTCACGAGGCTAGTGCTTCACACGTGAACTGCTGAAACTGTCAGCCTGTTTTTAAGGCCCCAGAGGGCAGTGGAGGCCTGTGCAGGCCATGTGGTCCTGGGTGGCTGACAGATGCCAGGTGTAACTATTTGCCCCATGCTTGGATCTGTGGGAGTGGCAGATGTGACACCAGAGCTCTGTCAGACCCGCTCAGCGCCCCTCTCCCCTGGGCCAGCAGCCTGACAGGGATGGCAGTCAGCCTGCCCTACTTGGTCTGCCACTGGACCAGCCCACCTGGCCTTCCAGTGTGTGTCCGTCTGTCCTTGAGCAGGCCCACTGGGGAGTGCCAAGCGGATGGGACCGCCTGCCCAGCATTCCAGGCAGGCCCCTCAGATGGTTTTTCTAGATGGGCCACCATGAAGGGACCAACCCTTCATTCAACCAACCCATATAATAGACTCTCTTCTGGCTTCATCAGGGAAAGTGAAATTTTGATTGTTTTGTTTTGTAATGCTGGGGTTCCAATCCAGAGCCTCATGCTTGCTGGGCAAGTGCTCTACTGCTGACTATGTCTCAGCCCCAAAGCGAAACAGACAAATTCAGAGTTCGATGAAAGTGTGAATTTCTGCCTGTTTGAAATACCATTTCTTATGGCATGTGACTCCAGGTAAGTCACTTAACCTGTCTGTGGCTGGGTTCTCTCTTACATACGAATGGCCGCAGCCTCCTAGACTCCTTGAAGATTAAGTGAATAGATAGATCATGGTGCCTGGCCCAGAGGAAGCTCAATATAATGGCTGGTTCTTGTCTCAACAAGCCTCACACACATCAAACCTTGGAGACCCCAAATCTCAGGAATGACAGAATGGAGTCTAGGGGATGCCAGATGACAGCACAGCAGAACACCCGGTAGTGGGGGGATTTGGACACACCCTGAAGCTGCAGGACCCTCCTCTGCCTGCCCCTTCCTTCCCTGCCTGTTTGACCTGGCTTCATCCTCCTGAGCCATCATGGATTTCAGTGTAGGCCAGCCCAGGCTATGTGTGGGGGGAGCCAGACACACCTCCTGGGAAAGGAAGGTGTCATTGGTCTAGCTGGGCCGTGCCCACTCCTCCCATCCAATTGTCTGGCAAGCCTGGGGAGGGACCTAGACTGAAGAGGCTGGAGAGGTGGGTGAGCGGGGCTGGCTGCCACGTGAATGGAAGGTGGCCTTTGTGCTCCAGGAAGAGAGACCCTGAGGGACTCAGACTCATCACTAAGAAAAGTGGCCATGCAGCTCCATCCTGGGCTTGATGAATGGACATGGCCTTGTCAGGACGTGGCCACATCAGGACGTGGCCAAGTACTTTGTATGATAATGCTGCAAATGTGCACAGACATACAAGGTGGTGTGTGTCCACCGAATACCCAGCTTAGACCCCGCGGCCATGGGTGTCCCATGAGCTGTGTGGACCACTGGGTTTGGACCCCAGGGCCCCAGCACCAACATCTGAGCTGTCTGAGGGGGGCAATGTGTGGGCTGAGGGCAGGCAGTGGGGTCTGTGTCCAGGAGCAGTGCCCTTCTCCCTCCTGGCAGAGTGGGCTGGGTAGGGGGTCTGCTCTCTCCACCTACAGCAGGAGGCAGGGTGTGGGGTTTGAGTGACCAGGATCCTGCCCCTCACCTGGAAGGGCATTATAGGTCAGCCCTGTGCTCTACCCAGTCAGGGACAAGGAAGCTACCTTTCGGAGCCACCTCAAGACAAAGCAAGGTGTCTTCATGTCAAGCAGCATCCATAGGGTCCCCAGAAGCCTTCAGGGTCTTCTCTGCACTCTGTCTGGGTACCTGGGACTTCTGCTTGGCCCTTGCTCTGAAGTCTCTGGGCAGAAGGGGCCCCTCTGGGCCAGTCAGCCTGTTCTGTGAGCCTGGGCACTGCTCTTCAGTGCTCTTTCCTCTGTGCTGGGTGCATGTGGGGCTGGCAAACCCCCCATATAGTGACACCC